ATACTAATGTTATTTACAATACAGACCATGAAGCTATTACTCAAATATTTTTAAAGGTTCATCATCAATCACTTTTAAATGTAAGACTCTTCATCAATTACACAAAATTAGTAATCCTCCTTTCTGCAGGATTGTTAAGAAAAAGTGAAATGACATTCATTTCAGAAAATGTGGAAGTAACTTGGGTCTCAATTGTAGTACTACAAGGTGTGTCTCAAGCATTCATTATTAATGGTTATCACATCTTGTAATGATTCACTTTCCTCAATAAATCAAGAGTATATTGAAGTTTATCACTATAATGATGTCATTCTCAACCACTTGCATTCTGATACACTTTCTTCAGTGGGGAGGATACAATGGAATTAAAGAGAGCAAGCTAGAAAAATGCACATCAGAGTATGTCACACATGTAAATATCCTATACGTGGATGGGAAAAATGTTAATATTCACTGACTTTGTTTTACTGCTATCTGGTTCAACTCCTACTTCAGTTCAGTGTGCATTTCACAATACCCATTACTTCTAGACTGGTTTGTGCACTTAAACTCTTTCTTCAAAAATTAGAACCCTATACTTATAATAGCACACATTTTGAAACATGGAAATTTATAAAATATTGCCCGTAAAAAATAATCATACACATCAGTAAGAAGAAGAAAACACTCAACTCAGACTCTTACGTATCATTAAAAGTAAGTTTTAAACAGATTAAATGCAGTTTAAGGTAGGGAAGAACATGAGTTAGAGATTTTAAGAAAGTAATATTTGGCTTTTCTGTACCTCTTTTAAACAAATATTTTTAGTTTAAATGAAAGGAATTTTGGGAAACCATCCAACAACAGGTGAAAATCTAAGGTGAAAGAAAAATAATTCAGGAATCCAGACAAACTAAGCATATTTTGAGGTAAAAGCATTTAATATGAATTTCTGAAAACCCCTAGTCAGATACAGTAATCAAAGAACTATAAAAGAACAGCTAACCTGAGATATTTCTAATTAATTGCTTTGTACCAATTATAAGCATCATTAAATTTTCGTAAACTTAATGTACACTACTTTAATTTCCTAAATCTAAAATTTAGGGACTTTCAGAGTGGTAGAACAAACACAGGAAAGATGACATTAAACCTACTATGTAAGGAACTGAATATGAAAGTTGAGGAATTCCTAAATTCAGGCATTTTTACCTAAATTGTTTCTTCTTCATAACAAGCTTGTAAAGTAATTTTATCAACTCTGCTTTACAGATGAGGACACTATAGTTTAAAGAGATTAAATAACTTGCCCAAGATCTCAGTCTCACAGAAGGAAATCCTGATTTCTGACTGAAACCCAGATTATCTGGCTCCAAAATAAATTAATGTTCTGTCATTACACCCTACAACCTGGCAAGAAACAACTACATTAAAATTTCCTGTTTCTTAATTAAAACCTTTTTAAGGAGGAGACAATAGCAAGCTTATAGTAAGCGGTCATAACGTACAGACTAAAAATTACTCATAATATGATAAGTATGTACGAATATTCTTAAAATATTCCAAGTCATGAATATGACATTTAATTTTATAAAGCTGAGTATGTAATACCCCAAAAATGAAAAAGTCTGAAAATTAGATTGTAATCTAAGTATAGAAAAGCATTAAGTAAACTTTACATTACCTAGATATTTTGAATTACAAAGAATAAACTTGAGAAGCCCCATATTTTGTAAGCCATACATTTCATATGGATAACTAGGATAATATTTATACTCATAAAATAAGAAAAATTGGATAATTTCTTATACATGATTCTTTTGTTCTGATTCTACTCTGTCCTTGTCCTCTTATTTTTTTTTTTCTGTTTTTTTCTCCATATCTTGGAGCACTCTTCTAATTTAGGGTTACAGAGTCTTAAATTCAGTAACTCCTGCACGTTTACATACAAGTGTAGATATACTGCAATGAAGACTACAATATTGCAAACTGGTAAAATCTAAAAGAGGAAACAAAAGTTTGATATTTTTCAGAGCATTAACTGTTGTGGAATTATTGGTGACTCTTCTTCCCTATAGTTTTCTGTATTGTTGTTAAAGCACTTAACTTTTATAATTAAAATAAAAATAGGAAAGGAAGAAGAAAAGGAAAGAGGGAGGGAGGCAAAGGGGGGAAAAAATTCAGGTGATTTTAAAATAACTAAATATCTTATTGTTCCCAAAGTTCCAAAACTATGACCTGCTTGTTCCCTTTAATCTCTCAATGGTATGGTAAATAAACCATATGTAAGTATGCCAAAGTCAAATGAGATATGGAAAAATAATAATGAAACAATCGAAAGGTCTATAAATTCTGAGACATAGCTCTTAATTTCAATAGTACAGAAATTAGTTATATAAGTGAGATAAGTATGACAACCACATTTAGGGCATATTAAAACTGAAAAGCAGGATCCAAATACTAAGAGTGCAGGAATTTCCTAAGTATGAAAAGATATAATATACAGATATGTGAACTTACACCCATTTCTTGTATTATAAACAGAATTTCTATATTAAAATATTCTTTTAGCAACACCATGAAACAATACCCAAGATAATTTTGAGCCCCCTGTTAAAATATTGACTTAAATTTCTCTAATTACTTCATTTTCTATTAAATAGTTCTAGAGTTCACATTTATAAGCTTTGTTTTTCCATTACTCAAATACATTCTTATTCCAAAATAATGAATGAGTGATCCAATTTATGTTACCAAAACATTGCATAATTAATAGTCCCTTGGATCTGTCTTCAAAAGAAGATGTTTAAAAACTAAGTACAAAACTATAACCTATTAACACAGGAGTTTAATTTTAAAGCACAACTTTATTTGTGTAAGATGTTCACTAGATCTCCTTTTTTTTCTGATTACCAAAATGCATTTATTCATCTGGACCTTACAAACATAATGACTCCCCACTCACAGGATTGCTTTATAATAGATACAGAATAAAATTACTAGTTTCTATAAATACTATTTCCATCTACAAACAGAAATAATCACCCTACAATATTTTGGTAGGCTATTGGTGGGATATATATATATTTACACTAGTTTTCAAAGTTAATCATGTCAGTTTTGTTCCTCAATATTTACTAAGTAACAGCTGTCTTGAAAATGTTATTGTTGTAGGTGGCTGGGTAGTTATCTACACAATTAAACTTTCCGGCATTGTTTGGAATATTTCAGAGTGAAATACCAGAGGATAGAAAATGGCAAATTTGATATAATGAAGATGAAATGAAAGTGATTTGTCTACCAAAGCCTGACTTATTTGTTCCAAACCATTGACATGAACCTTTGAAATAGTGCAAAAGCTGCATTAACTGGACCCCAAATAATTTTATGTGGTATATATTTAATGTTGTCAACCATCAGTGCAGAAGGGAACCAGATCTTCACCAAAGGTCTTTCATGTAAGAAAATAGGCAAAATGTTTCCAGGTATGCCTACGTACTCTCTTAATATATTCGTAATACCTTTGGAAGCATAGCTCTCTTGGCTCAAAGGTACTAGCAGATTTCTCGGATTCTACTCAGCTTTCCTTTGCATTAATGGAGAAATGTGTGGCTCTTTACAAATACGTCTTCCTAAAGTAGAAATGTGTGGCTCTTTACAAATATGTCTTCCTAAAGACCGTATAGGTATACTAGGAGTACAACACAGCATTAGTGAAGTAACATTTTGCAGTATTTTTTTTAATCTTGTCCCATTCCGTAGCTTGAAGAGTATTTTCTAGTCTTCAATAAGTAGAAATAGTTTTGGTCTATTGTAGTTGATTTTGCCATTACACTTATATATACAATGACTCAAGAATTTTGCTTTATTATCTTAAAATATCTGGAGAAAGAGAAAAATAGCACTACAAACCTTTGGAGCAATTTATATCAAAGTGGCAGTGAGGCGACTACGAACATATACAGGGTCTTACGAATTAAACAGATTACAGCCTCTTTTTTTTTTAAACCATAAGCAGAACAAAAATGAACGGCTACCAGCCTTAATAAATTATTGGATTGGGGATTGTATAACATTAGATATCAAAATCACAAATGTGCAAAGTAAAAAGCGACAACTTCACAGTTAACTGCGTAATTTGTGTATGACTGGACGTACCCTGGCCCTCCCAACACCAAATCAATAAGCGTGTTTCATAAAGTTGACACTAAGGGAGACTCTAAGGCAGAAAGCCGACCCAAAGGTACCTCCAAACTCCTCCTCAACCCTAAATGGCAATGAGAGAATAGAGCAGAAATTGCCCCGCTGCACTAGCTCCACACTTAGCAGCTGAAGTATAAACTCTCTTGACTATCTCTTGGGGCTCACCTATGGACAGGCAGGAGCAGGGACGGAAGGTGGGGATAAGGCAGGAGGTGGGGAAGCTAACAGACGAATAAGAGCGGGGGCGAACTGCCAGGATCAAGAGATACTGCGGCGCCGCAGAGGTCGGCAGGGATTGCGGGGCACCTGGGCGTCGGGAACGTCCGCCCCAGCCCAAGGGCCGCGCTAGGAGGCCAGCGCACCCACCGAAGGGGCTGCGGGCATGAGGGGCGGTGCCCACGTCCCCTACCCCGCCCCACACTCCGCAGCCCACCGAGCCGGCGACGGGGCGGGGCCGCTGCGCCCGCCTCAGCCCTCTCGCGCCGGCACCCGCCCCCTGAGCCTCCCGTCCGGGCTTGGTGGAAGAGGAGGGCCTCGCGGGGCCGGGTGGGCAGCCCGCCCTGAGCCCCGACCTGGAATGCTCCGCTGAGGGCGGGGGACCGGCAGGAGACCCTGCAGCCTGGGGCGGGAGGAGGGGTGGCTGACGGCGGAGGGAGAGGCTTCGGCGCAGCCGCCGCAACCAGGGCTAACTCCCAGGCGCGCCCCAGCGGATAGAGAGTGTTGCCCCGGTTCTCGGCTCGCCTTCCCTCCTCTTCCCCGCTCCTCCGGCGTTGCCTCGGGCAACACCGCCTGCCGCGGGCGGCGCGAAACTCACCTACCTAGAACCTGACAAGCAGGAGCCCCTCAGACACAGGAGCCAGTCACCACCCCGCGTCACGGCGGTCTCCACAACCAATGGGCTCCTCTGTCACAAGCCTCTACAGCCAATCCAGCTGCACTCCGGTCTTCGGGACCTCGAAAGGCCTGAGCCAATAGGAATAAGCGGAAGGCGGGCGCTGCCGCCCAGTCCCCAACCCCCTCCTCCACCACCTCCCAGGAGGCGGGGCGCGGCCCATTAGCCCGGCGGGCCGGGAGGGGTGGGATTTGGGCTCCAGGCCAGGTGGGCGCGTGCGGTCCAGCGGCTGCGGACGCGGCGAGAGTATGTGTGGTGCTGTGACCGCCGCCCTGTGGGCCTGCTCCCGGCTCGTGTGGTGCCCGCAGTACCCCTGTTCGGGCTGCTGCCCTCGTCCCTGTAACCCGCTCCTCTCCGCCCGGTGTCCAGTAGAGTGAGGGCGGGATGGGCCGGAGGCGGACGGCGCCGTCACAGGAAACTTTGGAGGCTCGTCTGGCCACGGCCGGGAAGTGGCCGGATTGGGGATGATAAGCTGGGGCCGCCTAGAAGGGGACTGCCCGGTGTGTCGGCAACCGGGAAGGAATTCGCGGCCGGGGGGCGGGGAGGGCGAAGGCATGATTAAAATTTTAAGTGTGTCTGTGGGGCTCTGGGCGACCCCAGGAGCTGGAATCTCCAGGAACGGACGCTGCTTTGGGGCCTCGTGCCACCCCCCGCAAAATACGCACTTCTCACCCTCGGTCACTTTTTCCTGTACTTCTTACTTGCATCTATTGTAACGTTGATTCCTTTAGAATGGTTTTCGTTTCTCGCAGGGACTCTAGTGCTTTATAAAGTCAGGAACTTTTTGTCTTTCTCTTTCCTGTAATTCCCTGTGCCTGAGACTATCTTTTTAAAAAGTTAGGGGCAGGGGATTGAGGGGTATTATGTTTAGTACACATGGTGTGGGGGATCACGAAGAGAACCGTGCAGCACACAGAAGGCACATAGTGGATCTGGCATCTTACTACACTGATGGACAGTCACTGCATTGGAGTATGGGCGGGGACTTGATAATAAAGGTAAATGTAGTAACCACATTGTTTTTCACATGAAACCTTCATAAGAGTGTATAGCAATCATACTTTAATAAAAATAAGTAAGTAAATAAAGGTTAGGGGCAAGGGAAACAAAAGCAAAAATGAACAAGTGGGACTATATCAAGCTGAAAAGCAGTACAGCAAAGGACACCATCAATAGAACAAAAAGGCGTCCTATAGTATGGGAGAATATATTCATAAATGACAGCTCCGATAAAGGGTTGACATCCAAAATATATAAAGAGCTCACACACCTCAACAAACAAAAAGCAAATAATCCAATTAAAAAATGGGCACAGGATCTGAATAGATACTTCTTTAAAGAAGAAATTCAGATGGCCAACAGACACATGAAAAGATGCTCCACATCGCTAGTCATCAGAGAAATGCAAATTAAAACCA